ACATACGGTCAGCATGAGTAGGAATCACTAAAAGACAACTAGTACTATTACTACAACTCAAGGTTACATGGACTAAATTATGCTTATTAAACGTTGTAACAAAGAATAACCTACTGTTATATATATATATATAGCTCAGTTCCCTTCCTCCTCACATGGCACATCTGAACATACATTTGAGGAACAAGTTCCCAGCTTGGATACAGATCTGATCTGTGTATCACTATTTGTTGTCATCTTTGTCTTTACCCTTCATCTTTCCAAAGGCTTCGCCACAGTAAGATCCTCCACTCCTCTAGTATGTGTTTTACCCCTCTCTTCTAGTCCCATCCCAAGTCATCTCTTTTTATATATCTTAGAAATTTAAAGTATGTGCAAGGAAGCCATTTAAGATCCTTCTATTTAAGACTGTAAAATATCACTGAGGAGCACAGAGAATATGGAATGTTATATTTACTTCCCAGAGGCTTCCTACCTGCCCAGACGGCCTCTAGAACTGTGGGCACTTTTAGGGACAATTCTAGAGTTCTGCCATCTGACACACTAGCCACTTATGTGGCTATGGAGCATTTGAAATGTGGCCAGCCTGAACTGAGATGTACTGTATAAGTGTATACATGCTGGACTTCAAAGAATTAGTTTTATAAAAAAAGGAAAATGGCTAATATTGTTTTATAATGATTACATGTGAATTAATACTATTTGGAATAAGTAAAATGATCTGGGTTAAATAAGATATATTATTAAAATTAATTTCACCTGTTTCTTTTTACTTTTTAAAATATGACTACTAGAAATTTTACCATTACAAATGTGGCTTATATTACATTTTTATTGGACAGTGTTAAATCTAGGGTGAAGGTGGGAACAGAAAAAGTCAGGACCCTAAAGTTAACTTTTATGATGCAGAGACCTTGAAGACAACCCAGGGTAAGGTAACATACACAGAAATTCTGATTAATTTCAGGTTCCAAATGACAAGTAAACTAGAGAGAGAACAAAGAAAAAGCAATCTTGAACCCATAAATGCATTATCCAATGAACTGTTAATTTATTTGAATAAAAAAATCCCTTAATCTTTAAGAAGAGAGATGCTATTTGACTCACAAGTTACTGACTTTGAGCAGGGTTTGATCCAGAAATTGTTATTTCATTAATTTTAATATTGTATTTCATAGGTCAAATGTTAAGAGAATTTTGGCCTGGGAAGGGGCCTTTGCGATCATCTAACTTGATTCCTTCTTCCGACAGAGAAGAAAGATAGACTTCTCCTTGGTCATATAGAGCTGGGTTTCAGCTAAGTCAGGTCTGGGATTTCCATGCTCTCCATTAACCCCAATGAGGAGTTCTGGTAGCACAAGTGAAAGTTGGCAGTTCGAACCCACCAGGTGCTCGGTGGGAGAAAAATGTGGCAGTCTGCTCCAATAAAAATGACAGCCTTAGACACCCTACAAGCTCTACTCTTGTCCTCTAAGGTTGCTATGAATCTGAACCCACTCAAGGGGAATCCTAACACATCCACATCAATCAAGGTCTTCAGCAGGCATGACTCCATCTCAAATGTACGGCTGTCTTAGTATGACAGTGCTGTTCTAGCCCTTAAGTGTCAAATGAAACTCACCTGCTTCTCTCTGAAGGAACGTTTATTTTTTGACCGGATATTCTGGCTATACCGCATCATCATAAAGTTCTTCTGTTTTTTCTTCTCTTTATTTGTGGAACTTGAAAATGGATTCATTTTGCTTTTCTTCCTCACAAATTCTTTTCGGTCTGTTTTTCCAGCCTATCAACACAAAAGACAAAAGATTGGTATTTCTTCTTAAAACACACTTGAGAAGTTGTCTAATCACTATCACTGTCTGTTTGGTGGCAGACATAATACTGATGGAAAGATGGACAGAACACAGCCCTTGTTCCTAGGATCCCAGCACAATACTAACTGTGCAGAAATAACTATGACGCATGGGAATGCAGGACTCCTGGAGTGGCACTGTAAAAGCAGCACTGGACTGTGAACCACAAGGTAGGTGGTTCAAACTCACTAGCCACTCCTCAGAAACCCAATACAGGGTCGCTATGAGTCAGAACCGACTCAATGGCACTTAGCAACAATTGTAACGGACAAAGAGGAAGTTAGTAGAAGAAAAGGTCATATTCTGCCTGGTGAGGTGATGAGAGATTTGAGTGAGGAGGAGAAACATGAGCTGTGTTTCTGCAGGATGATTGTGGTGAGGGAAAGAAGGGGAAGGCTGGAACATTCCAGGAAGTAGGGGCAGACTATGCAAAGGAGTGGAGGAGAAAAGCATAGGGCTTTAAATGTATCCAGAGTCAGTACAAATGGAATGCAAAGCATGTAGTGAGTGAGGCAGGTATGGGATGGGAGCTAAGATAGGACATAAAAAAGGAAGTTGGGAAGGTAGGTAGGGCATGAGTAGGAAGAGCCACAGCACTTGCTAGAGGCATATTCCAACTTTTTCCTACTGTTATTGTTATGTGCCCTGGAGTTGGTTCTGACTCATAGAGACCCTGTACAGGGTTTCTGAGGCTTTCCGTAAATCTTCACGGGAGCAGAAAGCCTCATCTTTCTCCCACAGAACTGCTAGTAGTTTCAAACTGCTGAACGTGAGATCAGCAGCCCAATTCGTAACCACTACGCTACCAGAGCTCCTTTTGGCTTTGATAAATATATCCGGCTTCCCTGATAACCACAAACACTTAATTTTAACTTTTTGTGTTCTATGTCTTGTTTGGTTGGCAATTTCATGGGTATCTATAGTTGTCAAACCTCACCTAAGGGAACAACTAATATCTGTGCATTGTATTCTTAATTATGATTTTGATCCTGATATTCTTGTTTATAATCAAACCTTGATTAAAAGAATTTTTGTTAAAATGCAGACATTCTGTGCGGCACAAGCTCAGGGTCATTTTTCATCTTACACGCTTTCTTCTTTAAAAAAGTAGGGAATGAGATGCCCCACTCACCATTGCAGTTGCTAGTCTTGTCTCTTTGTCAGACTTTGGCTTTTTATGAAGGCGTTCAATGTCCCGAAGTGAAAGTAACTCGCCCCTGGAGTTGAAGACACAAAACATAGTAACCCGCAACAGCGGTGGCATTTCTTTCCCCCAGTGTGTTCATTCCATGACAGCAGAGTGAAGGCCATTTACCTGGGCTCCTCATCATCATCTATTTCAATGTATTTCCTCTTTTCTGCTTTCCCGGGAGCAGCACTGAGTTCTTTGCTTAGCTGGGCCATGTGGATTTTCTGGAAGTCTTCCTGAGTTAAAACCCGACTAGTGCTGATGGCTGCAGCTTTGGCTTTCCGTTCCTCCATGGGCATGCTGTTCAGCTTCTTGGTCTTGAAAAACATTAAACAGAGGCATAGGTGGTTACTAGCTCAAGAGAGAGCTTAGCCATTCAAATTCTCTCCCGGTAAGGCCCAGCAAAAGTGAAGACTAAGTCAATATCAGAGTGGTGCATTTGTAAGAGGAAACGTTGAAACTTACAATTTCTTGCTGTTCTTCATCAGAAGAGTGGTGCACGTCAACCCATTCACCATCGGCATCCTCCTCCTCCTCACTGAGACTGGCACTTTCCCAGCCATCTGTGTGAAGAGCACCTTGTTACTACTATCACTGGATGCTGGGAACTCACAGTACATTGATGAAAATCAAGCAAAAGAAAAGTCAATGAATCCTCAATTATATTCTACTGAGCAAGAAGCAAGCAGTATTTATTGTTAAATAAGCCATATCAATGAAACTACTTTAAGAAAAGGGGAGTAAGCACTGATCCAGTATCTACCATGTCCCTGGAGAAGGACATCATGGTTGGTAAAAGGTCATCAAAAAAGAGGAAGACCCTCAAAGAGATGGACTGACACAGGGACTACAACAATGCACTCCTCAGCGACTGTGAGGATGGAACGGGACCAGGCAGTGTTTCAATCTGTTGTGTACAGGGTCACTCTAAGTTACAAGTGAGCTAAGGGCACCTAACAACAAAGTGTCTCCATTGTACAAATCCATTTCTGTAACCCTCACAATGCAAGGTAAGAGGAAAGAGACTCTGGAGTTAAGAAACTTCTGACTCCAAAGCCATTGTTCTTCCCAACAAATGAGCGCTATCCATCAATCTACACTTTACATTTATCTGGGTCACATAGTAAGTATTCAACTCGTCTAATCATATTTTACATTTTCTATATGAGAATCTAGTTAGAAGTAGTCATTCTGAGAAGAAGATGTTTGATGTATAAAAGAACCTTACAGAAGAACCTTAAAGAGGTATTAGTGTTCTTCACGGAGTCACCAAAAGTAAGCTTTCTGAATCACGGATACGTATGATCCCTCAGTAGTTTCCAGAAGAGAATTTCCCAATCATATACACATTTCACCATAAGGCCTCGGACTCTTATCCCTAGTCTCATATGTTGTATGTCCCACCTTGTAACCTACATTGTAATAGTCCCCTAAATACTTCAAGACTTTGCTTACACTTGGCCTAGAAAGCCTCCACTATCTTAGCAGTCTTGGGCAAGTGTCTGCCTCATCATTCAAGAGACAGGCTGGGGCTCACCATCTCTCTGAAGCCTTTTTTTGAACCTGACCTCTCACCTGTGTTTATGCCCCTGATCTAATCCAAAATCCTGCCTGCATTTATCGCTCAACTGTTTTAGAAAAGCCCTCAATGGTAGAAAGTATACTCTTCATCTTTGTATTGGAGATGACCGGCACACAGCTAATGCTTGGAAAAGTTAAGCTGAAATAATGACCAAGTGAGCAGGAATAAGACAGTGCTCTGACAAATGCTGCTAAACCTTACGCAGGTTGTTTTTTTTTTTTGAGACAGGAAGTTCAATTAATTGATTGGCACAAGTGAGGTGGGGCAGTGCTACCAAGGCCTTCATGAACGTAGGACCTGCCACTAGTCCAACAAGTCACAACTGGGGATGTATTTGACTCCACAACCATCAGGGATGAGGCGCTTCTCAGCTAACATGTTTTCAAACTCGATAGCACTGAACTTGGTGAAGCCCCACCTTTTGGAAATGTGGATCTTCTGGGACGCAGGGAACTTGAACTTGACCCAATATAGGGTCTTAATCACATGTTCCTTGTTCATGTGGTCACAGAGTGGGAACTCATCCAGTTTCATCTTCTTCTGGTCCAGGTCAAAGATGCAAATTTTGGGCAGAAGCAGGGCTTGGGGTGGGGCTTATTCTTATAAAACCAGAGACACTAAGGCAGGGCGTTAGCCCATGGTGACACCAGGATCTTTGTGACACACTGGAGGAAAACAGCCTCAGGCATTCTTGAATGGGAAGAATTTGGAATGACTGCTCTGAGCTCTAACCCTCATCATTTTTCACACAACAAACACAAAAGCATTATCTTTCCCATGTGCCAAAGAGCACACTTTTTGGTAAGGGGCAGCCACACTGAAGGAAATGAAAAGGTAACTCCCTACACTGGAAGATAAGAGTAGTAAGAATAGAAATCATGCCCATTTGATGCACAGTTTATAACACTGTATGACATATAGTCACCATTCAGTAAATATCTACTGAGTGAATGGGTTTTCAGACAGCATAAAGATTCAAAGGTTGACAAATACAGTATAAATAATTTTTTCCTGAAGAATAGAAAAAATAAAATGAACCTTCATCATCTTCAGCATTCTCTTCCCCTTTCTCAACTTCCAGAATTTCTGCTCCTGGAATGTAGTCTTTAGCATCTAATTCCCCATATTCTTGTACTCTTGTTTCTACTGAGGCTTCTGTAGGCTTTCCCTAAAGGAAAGAAAATTGTCTGTAAGATGCTTAAATTGCAAAACATTAACCACAAAAAAGAAATTCTCCAGGATTATGAATTGAGAGAATCATAATTTCTCACTCTATTCTTATTCAGATCAAGAAATTGTTATCAGAGAATAACAGCTGACTTTGAAATCTCAGCATCACCATTTCTCTATTATATATTCTCATTGCTCCTTCCCCCGTCTAGACCTGTCCAACATTGATAACAGCTACTGGTTGATTCCAATCTGTTACTGATGACAGAAGCATTTACTAAAACTACAAATCTCAGTCACTGTCATGTGCCAACGACAAAGTATTTAAGGCAGCGGTATATGTCAATCAGTTGTGTCCTAAGTGCTAATAATAAAACTGTGTGCATCACTGGCACTCATAATTTCATAGGAAATCACAGTCACCTCCCAAGACCATAACCTTTAGATCAACATAAATATAAGATCACATACCCGGAATTTCTTGTGCAACATCTGAGGATTTAGTGTTCGGAAAAGCTGAATCAAAGTTCTAGCGGACATCATCACATCTATAAGATAATACCATGAACTAGAAACTCCAGAGCCAAGAATACACAGAGACAAAATTGGGCCTATCTGAACCCCTTAGTTTAGAGAAACAAATGTGCAACTTACTCTTATCTTTGTGTGTTTTATACTGGGCCAGGTCTTGGAGAAGTTCTTCAGTCATGGCTAGAGGGCATCGAGCTGTTATCTCTTTTATAGCATTGATTCTAGAAATGAAAAATGAATTTAAAACAAAACAAAAAACCCAGCAACTTCATGTGATTCAACCTAAGGAGGCTTCCTAAAAAAAAAAAAAGAAAGACTAAATAAAAAGAAAACAAGTTAAGTTTAATGCGGTAGAGAATGTGAGAATGTGAGGTGGGAGAGAGCCTTAGCGGGCTTTTATTCCAGACAGTTCACTGCTATTTAGTGTTGAGAACACTAAATCGTGGTAACATTTACTCTCCATTTCTAAAGTTCCATAAGAAAGGTTAAAGGTCCATAGAGCAGTTTTTTACTATATATATAGGCTGCTATTTTTCAAGGGAGAGAACAAAGCAACTGTTCAGCGCATTACTTATCAGGATACATTACATAATTCTTAAACCAGTGTTTACATTCATCAAGTGTTTTTGAATTATTAAAAAAGGCCACTGCACTGCCTTGACAATAAAACGTGACTCAACAACAAATCAATTGTTTCAGTGGAAGGTATGAATTCAGGGTTTCATACGAGAAAAATATCTAGGCTGCCAAATAATTACTCATTTGAGAAGAGTAAAGTTAGTAAAAAGACAAAAAGTTGATTAGAACGACAAGTATCTTTTCTCTTGCTACCTCTACAAAATTATGACTAACAAAACAAAATTATCTAGCATTCTGAGAAGACGGCAGTGTATTTAAACTATGGGTTTTCTAGAGGCCACATTGCCATGTGAAAAACACCTTGTCAAGTGAGCGCTACTTAATTAGCAAAACAACACAGCAACCACTTCCAACCACATGCTACATACCCTACTGTCATCACTTCGCCAGAGTTCTTGTCAGTAACGAAGTTGTTGGCCACAGTCATGAGCACTGACTGAATAATCTGAATTGGGGATAAAAGAAACGAGTGCTGAGAAAATATCCATACCTATTCAAGCATCAGAGTACATAGTACTGGACAAAACAGTTGACAATGTATGAGGATAACAGCCTTGACTTTCAGTTTGGGAGTTGGAAGGAATCACAACAGACGAAAAACACTCATGGATTCAGTCTTCTTGTTGGCTATCCTCAGACTAAATTTGCTCCCCTTTAATATTAATTTTTCAATATGAATGGAAAACAAAAATGCTTTGGCCCAGAATAACCTAATGCTCAAAGATAGGGATCCCCAACTTTGAAAAATAATTACTATAGACCTAGGATTCTTGACTTCCCCTAGTCATGGAATCAACTTATTAAATAAAATCAGAACTTTACAACCAGCTGACCAAAACAAGTTATATTCTCTATGGGCTATACATCTAAACTTCTGTATGTATCCCCTTAAGAGTTAGTTCACATCTATTCACTTGAACAAAAAGAAAAAACTGTGGAGAGTAATCTCTGTGGGAAAATTACCTCAATATACCTAAAGTGACATCATTATTCAGGCATTAGAGCTAGAAGTAAGACTCAAGAATGCTCACCTCTGGGGGTACCAGGTGATGAGATGCTTGTGCAGCAAACAGAAGGATCTTTGTTACTTCTAAAAATGCAAAAGGTCAGAAAGGTCACAGCCATTTGACACCTGTCCTTGTATCAATACTACTACTGTCTATTCCACCTGCTGCACCTAACCCCCAGAGAGCTTTATTGCTCACCTGTCGCTTCCTTCCAGGTCTCTGCTCAAGTGTTGTCTGGTATCAGAAAGGTCTTTCCTGACCACGTAATCTAAAATAGCACCTACCCGCATACTCCTTATTACACTCCCTAGACATGTACAAGGGGGCTTCATGAAGCCCACTCAGATATGCCACAGCACTGCCTATATTCCCCCTCTAGAATATTAGTTCTATGAGAGTAAGAGTTTTGCTTTATGCTCACTGCGGAATTCCTAGTGTCTACAGCAATGACAGTGCTATATATTTGTTGAATGAAAAAATTCAAGTGTGTATATATATATATACATACATACACACACATCAAAGGGGCAGTGAGGCAGCATGGTTATACGTAAAAAACAACCAAGGCCTTTGGCATTAGAAAGAAATGAGGGTTTGCCATTTATTTGCTGAGTGACCCTGGTTAAGGAGACATGTGAGGATTAGATGAGGTGATGTATGTAAAGCACTTAGCACAGTGCCTGGCTCTTGTTGTTAAGTGCTGTCGAGTCGGTTCCAACCCATAGCGACCCTGTCTGTATAGGGTTTCCAAGGAGAAGCTGGCTCATTTTAGATCCTTGCTAAATAAGTTTCCCTCCTATCTTGGCTCAAATTCAAACACCAAAACAAGTATCTCTTCTTTCCTGCTTGTATATACATCGGTTTTAATTGAGAACATACATGGGGGCAATGAAAATGGTAAGGTAAAATCCTGATATGAGCTACAAAGTTAAAGTTAAAGGGCAAACTTTATTTATTATTTTTTTTTAAAGAATTTTTCGTAAGCATTTATGACGTTACAAAAAGATGTATGTGATAGGGTTTTGTGTCAACTTGAATGGACCAGGATTCCCAGTGGTTTGGCGGTTGAGATGTGGTTATCCCCATGATTAGATCTAATACAGTGCCATTAACTCTATGATGATTGGCTACAAACAGCATAGTTCACTCTGTGATGATTAGCTATGAGCAGCCAATCAAATGAAAGGATGTTTCCTTGGGGATGTGACCTGCTTCCAATATAATGGGCAGTCAGGCAAAGCTAACATGCTTTACTGCTGGGTCTAGATCTTGCATCTGGCTCATCCTTCCATCTCCACTTTTTTGGACTTGAGCCAGTAGCCTGCTTCATTATCTGCCTGCCTGCCTGCCTGCCTGCCGGATCTGTCAGCCTATCTGACCATTGGACCTGCCTGCTGATCTTGGTTCATCTGTTCCAGACTTAGGACTCTTCCACCTCTACAACTGTGAACTATTTCCTTGACCTAAACTCTTACATATATATATTGTTGTTGTTAAGTACCGTGGAGTTGGTTCCGACTCAGTGACCCTGCACAGGGTTTTCGAGGCTGTAAATCTTTACAGGAGCAGAACGACTCATCTTTCTCCTGCAGACCTGCTGGTAGTTGCAAACTGCTGACCTTGAGGTTGGCAGCCCGACTCGTAACCACTACGCTACCAGAGCGCTCGCGCTCTCTCTCTCTCTTTCTCTCTCTCTCTCTCTCTATATATATATACACTAGACAGCAAGGTTGGTTTGGACCACAAGGTTGGCAGTTCAAACTCATCAGCCACTCCTTAGAAACTCTATACAGGGTGACTGTGAGTTGAAACCAACTTGGCAGCATTTAACAACAACATATAAGTTTCACTGGTTTTGCTTCTCTAAAGAATGCAGTCTGAGACAACACATTTGAAGAACCAATTTATTTGTTATTTTCTTAAACACAACAAATCCATAGCAGACTCTGAAAGAGAACATAAACATCTTTTCTGCCCTTTCCTCTGATACAGAATGCATGTCATTCCTATCTGTCTTTAGCAATTCCAAAACAAAAGGCATTAGATAGTCATTCTAACACTAAGACTAGCAAAGGAGTATGGCAAAAAGTGGCTCACCTCTTTGGTGGGGCTGCAGAAACCTTTGAACAAAAGGATAGAAGTTAAAGAGGAAAAGCTGTGGAAAGAAAAATACAGTGGCTTTAATATTTATATACCTAAAGCTGTGGAATTTAACTTCTCCACAATGAAATTATATCACCAAGCTTAACTAATTGGGAATCATTTTGTATTTTCTCAAAAAGCAATATTGCCCCAAAATGATACCATATGCGAGTTAAACAAGGAAAGGAATTCTCTCTCAAACAGAATTAACTTGGGGTAAGAGAGGCAACCAAAATGTAATATTCTTCTACTTCTAAAATTGGTATGGACTTATTTTTGTGGCAAAAACCAGATGGGGTTAGAGTATATAACAGCACTAATGTTAAGGTTCATGAGCAAGGGACAAATGGCATTCCAATCTGAACACCATCAAGTGATCCGCACAATCAAGCAGAAGCCCACTGTCTTGGTTTTAGGACTACACCCCAGTCCAACCACATAAGGTATTTCAGTAGCTCCGTATCTTACAACAAAACTGCCGTCACTCTGGAGTCTACTAGGTAAAGGGGACAAGTGGCCACCAGTCAAGGAGATGGCAATGTTTAATTTTCCAAAGAGAAACTTTAGAGATGGGGGGGCTTTTTAAAAAGGCTCAAAGGGAATAAATTATTCTCTTTGAGCCACAAAGCAACACTAGGATAGACCATTGAGAAGTAACACTGAAGACTTTATATATCAATAGAAACATGTTCACTTGCAGTTAATCAAACTAAGATGAACTGCAAAGTACTTTTGCTTTCCTGTCATGCTCAAATTCCAGTCTGACATGAAACAACTGCACAGATGTGCTAAGAATTGACCTTGTGATCCCACTTTGGGACTACCAGTCTTTTCTTAGAGAAAGAGAAAGAGTGCTTCCACTCACGTGCTTTTACTATTACATATGTCTGTATCACTTGATTTTCAATAAATAAGCCTATTTTATTTTTATGTATTTTTAAAAATTTTAAAGACATACATATTCCATGATATTCAAAGTAGTACCAATCACAAGAGCCAAATGACAGGAAATACCGTCAATGGTTATGTTTTTATGACCTCAATTTATGGATACCTCTAACTTCTAAACTGGCAGTCTAAACATTTGTGTGATGTACATATGAGGGAATTTCAAAAAGTTCATGGAAAATGGAATGAAGAGATAATGGAATTTTCCACGAGTCCCTGAACTCTCTTGAATACATAATGCACATGAGAGTGCCAGTGTGCAGGGAGGGGCGGGCTCAAAAAGTTTGTGGGGAAATTCCACTATCTTTTCATTCCATTTTTCCATAAACTTTTTGAAGCTCCCTTGTATATACCACTAAGGACCACTTCTAGATTAAAAGAAAACAAATGACCAGAGACTTTCGTTTTGCACACATAACAACTTCCAACTAGAGATCTAGAAGTCACGAAGAGTTAACACAATGTGTGCTGTTGAATCGATTCCAACTCACTGTGATCCTGTAAGACAGAGTAGAACTGCCCAAGAATCAGGATTTTTCCAGGTCTTTTCTACTACAGAGTGAATGGTGGGTTCAAACTGCAACCTATTAGTTAGCACCCAAGCACTTTACAATTGCACCACCAGATTTCTGGTGAAAAATATTGTTCTTACGTGCCATCAAATTGGTTCTGACTCAGAGACCCTGTATGGGGTTTCCAAAGAGCGGCTGGTGAGTTTGAACCTCCAAGTTGTGGTTCAAACCAACCTTGTAGTACAGTTCTATGTTCTACAGAGCCACAGCAGGACTACTATATTGTGAAATATAGTTACCGGTTAATAAAATATATGGGTTATGCTGGTTCAGGAAAATGTATATATGAAACAAAGTTAAATAAAAAGACTACAAAAACAGAGCTCAAAAAAGTCTATTTATAAACTGGAGATATATGTATATATGAATTGGGGTGCTGATGTGGCCCTGGAAGACAAGTACTAGACGCTAACCACAAGGTCAATGGTTGAAATACACCAACCACTCCTCAGAAAACCTATACAGGGTCGCCATGAGTTGGAACCAATTCAATGGTACACAACAACAATGTATGCATTAACAGCCATGCTAGCTGCAAAGAAAATAAAGTGATAAAAAGTTACTTTTATATTTCATTTCCCGATAAACTATATGGATTTAAAAGGTTCTAGGGTAAAATTAGACCAATGCTCTACCTAATGGCTTTACTTTTATCAAGAATAATTCTACTTCTAATATTCAAGGAAATAAAATGCAATTCAAACCTCATGAATTCCCACCAATCTGGAGATAAGGTTCATGAGCATCATCTTCACCTCAAATCTCTCTTTAGAACTCTCGAGTTGTTTTAGTAGTTTTTCTGCAAAATCTGGAAAGGAGCATCAGAAGTACACTGTGGGTCTGTGGTCTGTACACCATTAACTAAGAGGTGCAGGGCAAGATGCAGTCAGACAGTGACTCCAGTCTGGCAGAGCCTGAAACCTCTGTGCTGCACCAAAGTGGTAAAAACAGGTATAAAAAGGCAGATGATGACACGATCCGCACAAAGGAATCCCGGAATTTAAAGCATTAGTAGCTGCAGTGACTGTTGGTAGGTGCTCCACTTCAACAGTTCTCTAAAGTCTCAGGAGCTCATTAGAGATGCAGAACCTCAAGTCCCATTCCAGACCCACAAAATCAGAACCTATACTTCAACAAGATCCCAGGTGATATGCATGGAATTTAAATTTAAGAAATACTGATCTGGCAAAGGTCAAGCAAGGTTTGCTGTACATTAGAGTACAGAGAGCTTTGTAAAATCTTAGTAACTAGTCACAACCACACTAACGCAATCAGATCTTTATGGATAATAGGACCTAGGCTTCAGTATATTTTATAAATCACTCAGGTGATTCCAACACACCAGCCAGTTTCAGAAATAACTGTCAGACAGCAGCATTCCCCAGCCTTTCAGTTTCCATAAGCCAGTTAAAAATTAAAATAAAATAAAGACCAATAAAAGATGGTCCATTTTCATTTGGACAGTAAAATGCCCTGCCACTATTGTGTTGTTAAAAACATGAATCTCAGCTAAAGCTGGCCTTCTACACTTTTGCTGTGGAAAACACTGCTTTAGAACATAGTTCTCTAGGCTGCAACCAAGTATTAACAAGTAAACATTTACTGATTACCTACTATATGCCTCTGGCAGCATAATGGTTACAAATCCGGCCGCGAATCTTAAGGTCAGGAGTTTGAAACTACCAGCAGTTCCATGGGAGAAAGATGAGGTTTTTTGTTCCTGTAAAGACTTACAGCCTTGGAAACCCTGTACAGGGTCGCTATGGGTCGGTTCCAACTCCACGGCACATCACCATCACCACTATGTGCCAAGGGCATTGCATTCTTTGGCAACGCTGAACGTAGGAAACTAAATAGACATACAGCCAACAAGTAAATCTAGTCATCATCATAATACCTTGGGGATCATGAATCAAGTGGATGGCTGAAAAGTTAAATACTTCTGGCTTTTTCTTCTTCTTTTGTTTCTGAAAGAAAGGCAGAGGAAACACATTTACACTCTAAATTACAGTGATAATTCTGCTTGGGATGACCAATGGTGTGCTAAGGGTGGTTCTCACTATTAAAAAAGGAGAACAAATCTTGTTCAAAAACCTTTATCTCAGATGGAAGAATGAAAGGTGGTTTTTGTGTTTTAAGCTGAAATTGCAAAAATGTTCCAACTATTAGCACCTAGGAGATTTAACGGGATATGAAAACACACTTAAAAAAAAAAAAGGCACACAAGGGCCAAATTCAAGATATTAATTGGTATAAAGTAGCCAATATACTTCCTTTATGTATTCTTCTGAGGAGACACGTCTGGCTAAGACATGTAAATAGGCTGTCCTGATCAGAAAAAGCACAGTGTTAATTTAATCAAATTAATTGAGCCAAGTCACAGATTTTGTTTGAGTTGAATAAATGTATTCATCTACAGAACCGTTGCTGTTGTTAAATGTCAAGTCAGTTCCAACTCATTGATTGCAACCTTGTACAAGGTTTCTGAGAAGCAGCTGGTAGATTTGAATTATCAACCTTGCAGTCCAGTATTCATCCTACCACGCCATACCAGGACTCCAAAATTAGTACTTAAAAATTTATCAAACATTTCAAAGGAAATGCAACCTCTTCACTTCAAGTTTTTTAAAGTTCTTCCTAAGACCCACAAACTTCCTACACTTCATTCCCCAAGTAGTCTCACCTTGAGCACTTTCATAGCCTTTTCCAATTTTTTCTTGTGTTTGGAGCTTTTCTTCCCTGTGGCATATTGCACTAGAAGGTCTCTCGCTGTCGGTCCTTCATCCTGAAGGAAAAATTATTCTGTAAAATTACAAACAAGAAAAATCTGCATAGAGGCAAAGAGCAATCTTTGCAACTACTTTAAAAAATGAATGCCACTTTAAAAATCAAGTAGAAATTAAAAGCCCATGTGTAGAAACTTTGCATACAAGAGTTTTTTTTTTAATGTTTTGCTTCACTGAAATACACTGCTGACAAAATTCAGTCTTGTATTTAACTGAAAAAAGAAACTGGAACTACATTTTTGTCAACATAAAACATTTCAATGATAGCTCTGATAGTGTAGCGGTTACAAATCGGGCTGTGAACCTCAGGGACAGCAGTTCGAAACTGCAAGCTGTTCCGAGAGAAAAGATGAGGCTTTCTGCTCCCGTAAAGATTTACAGCCTCGGAAATCCTATACAGGGTCACTGTGAGTCGGAACCAACTCCACAGCACAGAACAACAAAAATATCCACATTCTAAAATGTGAAATAATAAGGAAGATGTATATGTACTAACATACAAATATAGAAATTTTTTTATTATTGCTGTTATTAAGTGCTCATGTTGTTGTTGTTAAGTGCACTGAGTTGGTTCTAAACCATAGCAACCATATAGGGTTTCCGAGGAGCAGATAGTGAGTTTGAACCAACGACCCTTGTGGTTCAAGCCGACATTGCAGTCCAGCGCATTAACCCACAGCGCCATACCCGGACTTGAAATGGTCGCAGTGTGTATGGTTTCTGAGCAGTGGCTGGAGGATTTGAACTGCCGACCTTAGAACTATATATAGATTGATATGAAGAAAGCAAGCTACATAGTAATACATGTTATATAGTTTTTAAACATCTACTGTATCATGCATCCAAGGAGCTGATAGTGTAGTGGTTACGAGTCAGGCTGCAAACCTTAAGGTCACCAGTTCAAAACTACCAGTTGCTCCATGGGTGAAACATGAGCCTTTCTGTTCCTATGAAGATTTACAGCCCTGGAAATCCTATATAGGGTTGCTGTGAGTCGGAACAGATGTCATAACACACCACTACCACCACTATCCATGTACCAAGTATATACACACATCATATGTGAAACCACAGGAAACAAAATGGTTACCTCTGAGAAAGGAACAGGGAAGATAAAATAAGACAAGGACAAAAAAAAGTTATTTTTATATGTATTATCTGAAATATTTCACAATGACAATATATAATTCACATATTATTTAATACAATAATAAGAAAACAACGTTGTTGTTGTTGTAAGTGCTGTCAAATCAGTTATAACTCAAAGCAACCCTGTATAGGGTTTCCAAGCAGCCGCTGGTAGGTTTGAACCGCCAACCTTATGGTTAACAGTCTTGTGCTTATCCTACAGCACCACACCAGGACTCCAATAATGAGACTACTTTAAAAATATCATCACATATACCAATATTCTTGCTATCAAATGCAATGGTGGGAAGAAAAAATTTTTTCTCTGAATTTCTCCTTTTTAATACTTCTCAAAAATTACAATGACATAAATATTGAATTTTTTTCTTTAAAAATTGCCATAGCATTTATTCCCTTTCTTTCCCCACTCTAATCTTCTACTCCGTGAACATTTTACCTCAAAAATACGTTGGTGATTTTCATTCGAAATTATACATATATGTCCTGGTATGGCACTCTGGGTTAACGTGCCAGACTGCAAAGCTGCTTGAACTGCCAAGGTCGGTGGTTCAAGCTCACCAGCTGCTCCTCGGAAGCCCTATACAGGGTCGCTATGGGACGGAACCGACTCAATGACACTGAACAACAACAACATTTACAGTGAGATACAGTAGAACTAAGAACAAGACTGAAGGAATCTATGATTTATTAGCAAAGTGGTTACAAATTGGGCAGCTGACCTCAAGGTCGGCAGTTCAAAACTACCGCGGGAGATAGATGAGGCTTTCTGCTCCCATAAAGATTTACAGCCTCAGAAACACTGGGCAGGATCACTATAGTCAGAACCGACTCCACAGCACTTAACAACAATAACAACAATCTAACTGAATACGAGCCAGATTCTAATGGAATAAAATCTCATAACATGACAGACCTCAATAAAGAATACTTGTCATCTAAGTTTCTTTGTAACTTGAGCAGTTATGAATTTTTACAGCTAGTAATAAAATCTAATAAATCACAAAGTTCAGAAATTAAACTAACCTCGGATTCTGAGTCGCTGTCCTGTTTCTCATCTTCATCTTTTCCCAGGAAGAATGTCAAAGCAGCAACTAATATCTAAAGAACAATACGGAAAAAGTCAACCACTTAAGCCAGCTTACAACAAATACTTTTGTTTCTACTTGACATAAGTATCAACTAGGACCTGAAGAAAAATGACCTACAAAAACAAAAACTAAAGTGTCGTAAAACTTTTGTTCACTTAATTAAAAGAAAATGTTTTTATAATGTGATGTGTCCCATAAATATGTAAGTAAAAGAAAGGTGAATGAGATGAAAATAGCCAAGTGTTACTGGATGAAAATTGTTAAGTTTTCTTCAAAATACACTGTCAAGAATTTCTACATCTGACAAGAAAAGTGGCATTACAACCTTTTTAGAAGAAAGTAAAACAGAACCCTTAAATTTTATCAGCTATGCCTGAGTTTTCATTCGTAAAAGAAGAAAAGTCAAAAATTACAGGGAAAACAAAATCTGAACAGTAAGGGAATTATTTAATATAGTTTAAAAATTTTTTTAAAGACACAGTATTTTTTAGAGTGTTCATGGCAATTTTGGTTGACTCCTTGAACTCACAAATGAAATCAGGGAAGCAGTTTCAGTACAAATTAAATAAATCCATCTCCTGATTTCATTTGTGCTTTGGTGGTGGTGGTGGTGTGCTATAGAGTCGGTTCCGACTCACAGCGACCCTGCAAAGGGTTTCCAAGGCTATAAATCTTTATTGGAACAGAAAGCCTCATCTTTCTCCCACAGAACGCCTGGTAATTTCGAACTGCTGACCTTGAGGCTAATAGCCTGACTCGTAACCACTACACTCCCAGAGCCATAAAGTGTTACACAGTGGGCTGCTAACCACAGGGTCGGCAGTTCCAACTCCCCAGCACCTCCATGGGAGAGAGATGAAGCTTTCTGCTCCAACAAAAATTTAGTCTCACCAATGCGAAGGAATAGTTCTACTTTGCCCCACAAGGCTCATTAAGAGTCAGAATCCAATAATTACAAAGGGGTTTTTAAGCACAAATTGCTGCAGTGGTTAAGTGCTCGACTGCTAAATGGAAGATCAGTGGTTCAAAACCATCAGTGGCTCCATGGGAGTAAAATCTGGCAGGAATCTTTCATAAAGATTTACAGTCTTGGAAAACTATGGGCAGATCTAATCTGTCCTATAGGGTTGCTATGAGTTGTAATTAACTTAATGGCAATGGTTCGATTTGGTTTTTTGCTTTAAGCACAAACTGTGTGTCCACACACAAGTTCTTCATCACAACTCTAGTTCCTTCACTGTCTCTCCACAGAAGGCCCAGCACTTTCATTCAGCCCACAGGAGCTCACCTTGGTGACATTAGAGAAGCATGCCGTTGTGATAACATTGACAGTTTTAGCATCATTCCTGGGGGAAAACAATGATTATTTTTAAACAAATCTATCATTTACTGTATTTATAGCAAAGCAACAATGGCATAAAATAAATAATAGAATAAACGAGTTGACTACGTTAAAATTCATAATTGTATATATTTTTTAAAGTCAATGATCATTAAATAGTCAACCACAAGTGAACGTTTATTTAAATTTCAGCCTTGTCTTGTATCAGAATATCATGTACCTGTGAAGACAGAATTTCAAATGCATTTTCAATGACACAGGAGCCAACTGAAGATAATTAGGGGGAGGGCCAAGGGTGTCAGAATAAGAAATGATAACATAGCAAAGCTCCAACTATATTTTAAAATGCACACTTAAAAGGCCAAGAGAAATACTATAAAAAAATTTTAGCAATCATCTCTGTGTGGTGGTACTATCAATAATTAAAAACAGAAACATTTTTGAGCTTTTCTGAGTTTTTTGCTGTAATGAATAAACATGACTTTTATGTTTAAAAAATAAGAGATTATTTTATATGTAAGAAAAATTGATTTTAAACATTCCAAGTGGAAAGATGGCAGCCTAGGCAGAGAGCCAGTATGAACAGCAAGGATATGGAAAGCCTGACAAGACAGATACAGAGGACGGTCCTGGAACTGAGCTCCAGAGGAAGGAATACCTAAGTGGACTGAGCGCTTTCCGGGAGATAGACTGAATAGATGAGGAAAAAGAAAAGGTGACTGATGACCAGTGGCAGCTGACATAACCTGCCGCAGCCATCAGAACCTGCCACAGCCATCTTGGAGAGAGTTTTTAAATGGCTTTAGTGACAAGAAAACATATTCGTGTTACAGAAACCTCCATGTGGCTCGTGGAGACAAAGGTACGATTTTATTTTTTTCTAGCCAGCGTACACCTCCAGGGAATCTCTGCTTTTTGGGCAGTTGCAGGCACTCAGAGGTTATGAGCCTCAGGGAGGAGCTATATTCAGTAACCCTACTAGGGCAGGCTCTGACCCAAATCTGTTAAGTCGACACTTTGGAATGGCTCTCACCAGGACAGGGGGTTGAGTAGGCACATGGGGTAGAGGAAAAAAATGAGAGGAAATAAAGGAAGGAAAGGAAGTGGGCACTCTCTGGGGCACTCTGGATTCATGGCCATTTTGAGCTTTTTCAAGTGGCTGTAAAGGCAAGAGGCCAGTAGGTGGCGCAGCACACCGCTTATTAGCAGACAGAAAGTCATTGCCTTTCATTTTTTGCTGTGTGGACTTTTTATTTTGTTTTGGTTTTCCTTTTTCTCGCATCACACAACAAGAAACAGCAACTGTAGCCACACAGCCAAGCCACAGCTGTACCCTCTACAATCCCACCAACTGGGCAAGACCAGCTGCTATAAACCAGAGCAGTAACTACAACCAACATCAACTAAATCCACTCTGAATTGAACTGTAAGAACAGTGAACAGAGAAGTTCATCTCTTGATTGTACCCACCAGAAGGTCATTAGTGAGTATCAAAGAATACACCAACATACATTCATCAACTGGACACAAATACCACACCATAATGCCTAGAAAGCAGTTGGAAATACTCTGCTCACATAAAGAAACAAGACAAGAGTAGCTCAAACAAACAACCAAGAGGCAGAGCTAGAAAATGCTGTTGAGGAAGAACAGAAACTGAAATTACCTGAAAAGAATTCAGAAGAATGATATTTACATGCATCCAAATGTTTCACAGAAAGGTTAAGGAAAACATGGAAGAATTCAAAACAGTGTTACAGAAACAATCAACCACAATAGACACAGCATTGGAGACAATAAGAAACCTGAAAACAGAAATGCAGACGATCATTACTAAGATATTAGAAATGGACAATACACTGAAAGGGCAAAGGGACACAATTAAACCAGTGGAAGCCGGAATTAGCTTGAAGTCAGAAAGGAAACACTATGGAGTCTGAGAGATCTGAGTTTGAATTTCAGATCTGGCCATTCCTAGCTACTAAACTTTAAAGTCTATGAACTTTACTTCATTACCTATAAATAAGTTCTGAAAAATTGCTTTAAGCTGTTTTGAAGGTTGAATGACATAATACAAAGTGCCTGGCCTCAGGAAATGGTAGCCAGTCTAAATACTATCCATCTGGATTTCCTCAGTACTTTATTTCCAATGCAGTCTAAGACAGAGATATTACAGAGATGAAGATCAAGAAAAGGGCTCTGTATTAAATGAATAAAAGGATCTACTTCTTAAGTGATAAAGATACGTATTTTACCAGATGTTTCTTCTATAGAGTTCAATCATCACATCCAAGGATATCTTGGCTGCAGTAGCATTGCTGTCTCTTAACATGGTATACATGAAATTTTGCAATACCTGAAAAAGAAGAGAGACTTAATACACTGATGGTACAACTCTGCAAACATGGAAAACAAAAGGCTACTTACTACATTCACTTTATTGTTCTTGTGTTTTGCATTTATGTTCTTGATATCAGTCACAATATGAGTGTACAAAGTCTGCGGAAAAGAAACAAAAGCACGTACATATTAAGCCTAACCAACACTTCTAACCTCCAATTTGAGAAAATAAACAAATGTTGGGGTAATTTCATCTTTTTTTCATTATGTCACAAATTGAACCCCACAAAAATCAACAAATAAAAAAATAGTTAAAAAGCAAAATGAAAACTACCCTTAAAAGGTTGGCCATTAAGGGGCATGGAGTTCTTGTTAAAGGGAATGGAAAAATTTGGAAACAGTGGTGATGGCTGTACAACACAGTGAAAGTAATTAATGTCACTGAGTTGTGTATGGAAATAGTTTAGAGGCAAATATTTATTAGATGTATTTTACAGCAACAATAAAATGGTTAAACGTAAAGTTAACATTGTTGTTGCTAAATACCATGGAGTCAGTTCCGACTCATAGTGACCCTGTACAGGGTTTCCAAGGCTGTGAATCTTTACGGGAGCAGAAAGCTTCCATTCCTAGGTATATACTAAAAGAACTGGAAACGTATGTCCATCCGAACACTTGTGTATGAATGCTCACAGCATCATTTTCAACAATCCAAATGCCCATACACTGATGAGTGGATAAATAAAATCTGGTATACTAACATAATGAATATTATTTAGCAGTAAAAGGAATGAAGTACTCTACTGAGGAATGCAACAACATGGATGAACCTTGAAAACATTACACTAAACGAAAGAAGCTAGTCACGAAAGACCACTTAAAATATAATTCCATTTAGATGAACAATCCCAAATAGGCAAATCTAAACTTACCAAAGTAGACAGGTGATTGCTTAGGGATAGAGTGATGAAGGAGTAGGGAGAATGACTGAATGAATACTGTATAGGGTTTCTTTATGTTTATGGGGGTAGGAGGGGAGGAATGAAAATGTTCTAAAATTATCAAGATGGTTGTTAAACTCTGTGAATATACTAAAAACCATTACATACTTTAAATGGGCAAATTATATGTGGATTATATCTTAATAAACCTGTTATTAAAAAAAGGAAAAAAAATTGCTGTATTCACCTATGGCATGAAGGATGATACTGGGAATATACATATCATTGATGTCCAAATTTTGTACTTTTATTCCACAGGACAGACAAAGAAATACAATTATTAAATTCAAATGGTGGTAGTGTCTCAATACTTTGAAAATAAAATAAAGCTAATGAACATAAACTTAAGTTTTGCTTTCTAAAATTTCATAAACCTTCACCTTCTGTTCCTATTTGTATAAGGAAATACAAAACAATAAGGATCTATGAGTACAAGGCCATTTTAGCTGAAGGAAGGGGTGGCATAGTTATGAATGTCCACACACTGATACTGCCCTCAGTACAATGCAGGGGTAAACGGCTTCAGTTCTAGAGCCAAGCTGCTTGAAAGGTGTGTGACTTTGAGCAAGTTACTGTCTCTCTCTGCTTCAGCCTTGCCGTCTGTAAAGTGAGACGCTAACAGCAACAATTTCACCACCTGTCTGTCATACAGGGGTTTTAAAGGGAATAAGTGAGTTAACTCACAAAAGCTCTTAGAATGGTGTTTGGCACAAAGAACTCAAAAAATGTTCACTACTATTATCATATTGAATGTACAATGTAAGAATTTATTTCCTGCTACTCTTAACTATATCCAGTAATACAAAGCATCAGCAATTACAGTTAATTCAAAGTTCTGCGAGTTTTAATGTCACTAAAAGAGTAAGATGTAAAGAAAAAAAAAAAAAGTAATTTTGCTCTTTACCTTTCGTAGAAGCTTGTCATGACAACGCAGAAGTTCAAAGAAGAGCTCTAGTAAACTTGATGGATTGATGAGATTCTTATTTCTCAGCAAGATCAAAGCTTTGCAAAATGTCTCAGGAAGAAAAAGAAAATGTAAGCTAATGATAAAATTAAGCTAAGAAAATGGAGTATGCATATCCCTAACGAGTTTAAATTAGTCATTAAATGGAACAAGTAATTCTTGAAGAACAGTCAACTCCATGTATTAGAGTAGAAAAAAGCAAAAACTTTTTTTCCAGAAGGCAAGAATGCTTTAAAAAATATTAGGGGTATTGCCAAAAGGACTAATAAGCTCCAACTGGTTATGGTGTGACAATTTTAACAAACAATAACAATGCTCTAAAACAAGCTAATTAAAACTACTTTAAAAAGGTAGTTGCATTGTCAAAGAAAAATAAATGTAAGCTCAATTGTTACTGATTGTATTAAGTAAGAGTTAATGTTGTTATTAAGTGTCAAGTTGGTTCTGCCTCATATCAATCTTGTATAGGGTTTCCAAGGAGTGGCTGACAGATTTGCACTGCCAACCTTGTTAGCGGTCTAATCCTTATCCAACAGTGCCAAATCAGGACTCTAAGAGTTCGTAACCATGAGTATTTTGTTTCTTTCTCTAAGAGATATAATCTGTTTCTAGCTGTGTAAGTAAGAAAGAATGAACAATCACCTTGAAAGTCACTGTTTTAATTGGACCTTTCTTTTTCATATATAT